ATAAAGACCAAAGGCAGATATATGTATGCACCAAATAAGTGAACATGCAATTTACTGGTTTGAAACAAGAGAATGTGGTAAAGAGGCAACTACGGAGAGGTTAGCTGAAAGAAAAGAGAAAGAAAATCTTTTTACCTTTTTTATAATGTCAGTCTCTAGAAAAAAAGACAAAAGAAAAATATAAGAAACTATATCACATATTTAAAATGTAAAAATGGAAAATAACAAGCAGCATGAACTTATCTTGTGAGGTCTTTACTCATGAATGCACTGTATTAGTGTGTCCATCAATCAATTACAACAAAAAAGTAGCCATAAAAATAAAATTTAGTTAAATGATTGAGAAAGATAATTATCTTAAAATCTGACAAGTATACATACCTAGTTGTTGGTAGTTCCTAGTCAAGAGATCATGTTTCCTTCAGTGATGGTTTATGGAGAGTTCCTCGAATGTTCTACAGGAGTTATATGGAATTTATTGAGCAATAATTTACCTAGTATTAATGTCCAAATATATATGCAAGGATAAATCATTTTGCTTAGTGTTGAAACATCTAAATGATAGTAATTGATTGTATATATGATAATAAATAAAGGCAGGGCAAAGTTAAATATTCTTGTGCATCCTTCGTGATGCCATTGAAATAATAATAGTTTGAAATTTTGTTCAAATTAGCATTCACTCCACTGCATTAATCGCGCGAGAAGTCACTGGTGGTGTTTGGCGCAAAAATTTAAAACCTAACATGGCAAAATTTCTGCACTTATAACGATTCTTGTATTAGATGTTTTTGTAGTTTTTTCGTGTTTTTCACTCAAATGTAGTTTTGTAGCTTTGTAATGTTGTTTTTTTGTTTATGTAGTTTTGTAGTTTTTCACTCAAACCTAACTCTTTTTGGTTAGTACTGTAATGAAAAATACATTTGCTCGATGTGATTACACAAAATAACGAAGAATGGCCGTAGCTAGTTACCATGGAAATTCTGCTTTTAGCCCGGTCAGCAGAGATAACATGTTTACATTGGAAAAACTATCCCGTTAAACCGGGCGCCCCGCTTAACCGAACGCATTTTTTCACTACGCATGCGTGAATTCCGGGCGCCCCGCTCAACCGAACGCATTTTTTCACTACGCATGCGTGAATTCCCAGCAAGATACTTTCACAAAATCAGTATGGAGTAGTATTGCACAAGAATGTTATTTTACAAATAATTCACGTTTAAAGTAAAAGTTTGTCAAAATTTTTACAAAATGTTATAATCTTACGAAGACGATAAGGTTCCAACCATTTGTAGTGCAAAACGATACATTTAAAAAAAAATCTACAATTTCTATTGCAATCCAACGGAATTATCTTGCTGGAAGGCATGTCTCCTTACAATTTGCTACAGAGAAGTGGGGATACTAACGTCAAAGGTTCCGACACAAGCGGATGTTCTGCTAATACATCATCTGAGTATCCGAGCACCGAGTTAGAGGAAGAATACATCATCTGAGTATCCGTACGTTGTTAACCCAAAGATGCCACATAATTTTTACCTGAATAGATAGATAATAATCTCTTTAAAAAGATTTCGTAGCTCTCCAAGTGAAAAAGTTCCACAATTGAGAGAGAACTTCCATCAAAGCTTGCAATTTCCGCACTTCGATAAAGAAAACTTACCGTAATTTTTTGCATTCTACGCATGCGCACATCAAATAACTCGTACTACGTATGCGCAGTCCGATTAGATGTTGTTGCCATGAGGGTATTCCCAATTATTTTAATAAATTTCTCAAGTTGGACAAATAGAAACGATATAAACTTCCTTATTAAAGACTGTCAATTACTGTTTTCTTAACTGCTAACTTTCAGGCAGTACAATATAAGTTTGCAATGCGAAAAACCCATCTTTATCAAACATGACGGAAAATATATAAATTACCCAAAGATTGCAAAGTGACATATTTGCGATAATATCAATCATCACTTTTGTTTTCTAAATTATTTGTCCCAAAAATTATAAAACGTTCAGTTTTTGCGAAATATATCTGTCACTTTAAAATTTAAGATAAATAATAGGCAAACAGTGCAAAAATATCTACCTGCCTGTCAATACTGTTTATATCACTTCTTGGGAAAGCCTCTAAAATTTAATACTTAATTAGTTTCAGATTACGGCCTGTAGGATATGACAAAGTTGTTTAACTTTAAGTCGGAGATCTGTTCCTCACACTAAGTTCAGTCTCTTCATGACATTTGCGTTCTTGTTGCTTTTATGCCTTTTCATATACCAGCTTGTATTTTTTTATGTCATAGAATCGACCACAAAGAATAAATTTAAAGTTCAATCTTGGAAAACCAACTTTTTATGAATTCTGAGCATCGTGCATTTAAACAGCATTTAGATCGTCTACTTTTTAACTGCAAAAAGGGTCTAAATCAAAAACATTTAATTAGTCTGGAATGGAATAAAGCGAAAATTAATTATGCCTAGATACAATCAATGGGCCTCTTGAAAGCTTGGGCCTGTAGGCTTTAGCCTACTTACCCTACAGAGTAATCTGCCACTGTACTTAGTGCTTTATTAAACAAATGTACTATAGATATGTTTTATGCTCATTAGATAACTGATTCATCCATTTTGTTCATGCTAATCTTGGTTTTTTAGATCGTAACTTCACTGTTCTAGGTGACATTATACGATATACAGTTTTACTTTGCACAGAAAATGAAGACGTATGCGCTTTGTTGGCACTTGAACTTGGTATGCTTCCTTATATTGGCAACTCAGATATTGTATTTTGTTTCATATCAAAAATAATACTTCTGTTATATGAATTGCTACTGTTCCAGGCTTCTGAATTATTAGCAATATCCCAAGCATGAATAGTCGGAACATTTCTAATGGTCATTGCCTAGGGGAAATATCAGAATATATTCATCTATTTTCCGATTATACTCAGCTATTCTTTTGTGGATTAGTCATCTGTGCAAGAGCAGCTTAATGACTCAATGTAAAGGAATATGACATATAATGCTTCAAGCTACTTAGAAGAAAAATTACTGAATCTGAATCTGTCAGTTGTCTAAGGACCATAGTAAGTACTGTGCTTTTCATGCAGATTCACAATGCTTCAAAATTGCTTCACAATTGATTTGCAATGCTCTTAAAGTGGTTCTATGACGAAAACTTTACGTTTAAAAAATCATAGATTTTATCATTCAATAGTTAAAACACATATAAGCAAAAATAATAATATAACGAGGGAGTTATGAACATTTGAAATGTCTAATTTTCATGTCCGCCATTAAAATCGGCCATTTTAAATATTTGCAATCAGAAAAGTCTGTGACGTCATAGTCTTAACACGGCAAGAAGCGCACATTGGAAAGTATACAAAGTAATACATGAATAGAGCAAAAAATGTCAAATTCATTGAGATCTAGCTCGCTCTCTGAGTCTTTGATCGAGACAATTGCATCGATTTCTTCATCGGAATTTGTGACGGCAAATTCGAACGAATCTAATTCGGAAATTTTGCCATTTGTCGATAATAAGAATCGCTTGCTTCGCCCGATGAAATTGCTGAGTACGAAGCTACAGTCGCAGAAGAACGGCGGGTTGAAGACATGCTGCAATATCATTTTGATGCCGTGTTGATGCTACTTCATGGTAAGATGTCATTCTTAGTGTGTTACTTTGATCTGAATCGTCTGCCGTTAGCTATGATAACTTTATGGAAACATACAATTTGGCCAATATTAAAGGTGTGAATGTGGCCATTGTTCGTTGGATCTTGTTGTCACCCTCAAGAGTGCCGATGCTGCATGGAAATAGAGCAATGCCGTGGTAAAATGTATCAGTTCGAAATCGATGAAAGAAAATGCATTTTGGATCACCCTGGCTTTAACGAAGTTTGCCTGAACGAATTTGTTCTTCAAGCAGCTTCGTTAGGTTTAAAGACCAAAGGTCATCGCATGATACAGACACTTCATTTTGTATTTCCTTTAAAACCTTAGTATAAATGTATATTATATATTGAAAGTTTGCCTGGATGTATTATTGGTTCTCTCAAATTGTGAAAATTTATCATCTGCAATATGTGTAAGTATATAATAATTGCAACTTGTGCTAACCTGACGCCGCTCTCTTGACGTTGTTGGTGTTTGTGATTTCTTCCAAATACTAGGTACGGCACCAGGTTTGAGCAGTCTAGTCATACCACCCAAATGGAATAAACGCTTAAAACAATCATCCGAAAAGTGATCCGAACAAATCATAAATCGAATTTCGCGCGAACTCGGATTAAAATTTGCGCGCTTCGTCTGAAAAAATTTAACCCAAATTCTTCTCAAAGACTCGTCGTTTGGGCTTTTATGTAATGAAATGCCTGTACTTCTATCAGACTTATTACTGCAATCTTGCACGATACAGCGTGTTGAAGGCATGTTAAAAAAATTGAGTTATACAACCTTTTAAATCTCTATTTGTATATAGTGTTATATTGTAAAAAGTCGCGAGTTAAGACTATGACGTCACAAGCACCTTCCTGCTTGAAAATTCAAATATGGCGCATTTTAATGGCGGCTCTTAAAGTTCAAGTTTTATCACTACGTAACTCGAGCAGCATGAAATACATTGCGCTAAAATTTCACCAGAAGCCATTTTTTTACATACACTATTAATCTATGAAAAAAAAACGAGAGGCAAAATTTTGTCATAGTACCACTTTAAGGCAGATTCACTCAGGAAGTTTTTCAAGTTGATCATATTGACATTCAATCCTAAAAATGTGGTATTTAATAAAAGTTATATTATAGCAGCTAGAATTATTAAAAAAACAACTAGAAAGAATCTAATGAAGTCATCACAAGAGATCAATTATGAAAATGGTACATTTGACACACTTTATTAACCCCATTTCTTTGGAAAGTCAAAGATGTGACTCCCTACAAAAAAAAAAGTATCTGTAAAGATATCAATAAAAAGCAGTAACAATTAAATGTCAAAGAAAAGTTTCTATGAGCATGTAAACACATATTTAAGTTTATTTCCATCAAATTTTACGATGTGTTGACAAACTCTCACATATATAATAATTATATGTTACCAAAGATTTATTACTGCAATCTTGCACGATACAGCGTGTTGAAGGCATGTTAAAAAAATTGTGTTATACAACCTTTTAAATCTCTATTTGTGTTATAGTGTTATATTGTGTTATAATTATATGTTATATGTTATTATTATTACATTATATGTTATAATAATTATATGTTATAATTATATGTTACCAATTTCAACAAAAAGGTTCATTGTATAATGCCTACACCCACATAACAAGTGTAGGTATGCTCATGCTATGTAACAATTATGGTCCTCACTTAATGTAGAAGAAATAAATTTCTAACGAAATTTTCAATGCTAGTGATACAAAATTTACAAACTGCGAACAAAGTTGCAAGTTGACTAAGCTACTGTTGCTCTCATATCATCTTTAACTCAGTTACAGGTGACTTTGAATACTTTATTCATTGCGTGTGATCTATATAATTTTGAAAAGAATTTCATTTCCCATAGAAATCATCCAGTAACATTTGAATATATGAGCAAACACCCTTCTCTAAATGAACCTCTAAGAACGGCCTTGACTTTCCCGAGATCTTTCCTTCTCAATGTCCAGCATTGTCTTTATCAATTCATTTTTCATCATTTCAAATTCATCTCTTATCATTTTACTTAGGTCTTTGTCGTTCTTCATTTTCGTTATCAGTTCATTCTTTACTTTAACTTCCTCATTCATCCTTTTAAGTTCCTGTTTCACCATTGTAAGTTTCATTTCCAATACGTCGTTGTTCTCATGTGTTTCCAAAACTGTTGAAATGAAGTCAAACCCATAAATATACTTCCAAATTATGTTACCAAAACTTTTATCATGATGTTTCGGCCTATCCACAGCTGGTTTTAAAAAGCTGTTGCCATTCCTACAAGAAAACTTTCTAAACTTGTGCATCTTCCTTTCTAAATTGATTATCATTTTTGCCTAAATAATAGATAAAATTCATTATCAGATCATTGCTAACTGCGTACACTGAAGCACGTTATCTTATGGTCTATACCATAGGGGGCTAAATTTTAGACTGTTTTTATATGTTGTGATGTTGTATAGGCTGGAGTTACTTGAGCCTAATAATATAGTGTTTTTACTTGTCTCCAACTACTACATGTCTTAGTCTTGAATCAAGCTATCATCGTTGGACGTGGCGTCCTATTATTTTAGTATTTGAGAAACGCGTGGTTACCACTGACTTGTTGAGGATAGTTAGAGCTAAAAAATTTCCATGCTTGATTAAAATTTTTGCTAAATGAATTTTGTTCCTCTTAGTTTTTTATGTAGTGTTAATACTGTTTTCGTTTTTTCAATGTTCCTTTATAACTACCTAAACTAGCATTTGATGTCTTGTTGTTATTTAATGGAAATGAAAAGATTACTTTATGTTTCAAATCAAACTGATGTTTCTAAAATTAAAGCTAAACAAGCTATATGAGAACCATTTATAATAACATTTTGCTTTTATGATAAATTGCTATTACTCACAGTATAAAAGAGTTTGATTTGTTTATTTTTTTTCTTGAACTCGTCACTTGTGTCTTGTACTGCAAGAGCAACCAACAGATTCATAATGATGATTGAGACAAACAGAAGAAAAACAACAAATATAACCAGTCGCAGCGTTTTGAATGTATTGAACTCTGAAATATCATTCTCCACAAAATTTTCCTTGAAATCAAATTCACCCATCATCATGACAATAGCTGTTAAAATAGCGTGCCCAAAGTTTTTGAATCTTTCTCTATCATTCATGATCACCGCAAAGGCTGTTGCAAACGCCACTAAGAAGAACACCAGTAAGATCATTACCTGTAGAGTAGTGAAAATTAACTTAAATAATTTGTGTAAACCGAGGTGAACGGTAAAAAACTTTTTTATCAAGATGTATCTAGATAGTATAAGCTTGCAGACTTCAAAATTTTAAGCGTCAGAATATTTAATGGTAAAGTTTATCCAACTAAACTATTTCAATAAAATGTTTAAGAAGTATGGAAACCTTGCATAATGTGACTGCCATTCTTCTTATTGTATAAATCAACACACCAAAATATGAAAATTGTGTGAAATACATAACCAGATAAAACCATGCAGACAGCAATGCCATGGAACAGGCTTTCCATTGATAAATTGCCTTTACAGAGATGCTCCCGTTATGTGGTACAGCAAATATTAACGTGGATATGTAGAGAACACACTCCAAATAGTTCATGTCGTCGACAAAGTATTGCAATTTATAGACAACTAACTACAGAAGAACAAAATTAAATCATAAAAATTTCAGTTAAATGATATGTATTCCATTCGGCATTTTTTAAAAGCTTTTGAATTGTTTTTGTCAAAACACTGGACGAAGAGCTTGCGAGTCAAGAAAAAGTTGACATAGCTTAGCTAATTCACTTAAGAAAAGGCATTGCCTATATTTGTTACTTATTGAAGATAAAAAAGAAAATAATAATAATAATAATAATAATAATAATAATAATAATAATCAAATTTGTAATCATACTTGACAAAGTTCTTTAACGCAGCCATAACAAGAAAAAATCACACAAACTAACATCGCCATTATCAAGTAAGCATTATCTAGTGTTAAAATTAAGATATATATCGTTAAAATAATTATATTCTTGATTGGATGCATGTCTTTTGGATTACCTTTGTATAAGACTCTTTTATCATCTGTAGGAATACCATTTGTTTCGTTAAAAATTGCAAGTGTCGTGTTAGGAATACTATATGTTGTGCCTTCTTTGTTCAAAAGTGTTGTCTTATAGCTGGGAATGCTAAATGCATAATAGTTTAAAAATTGTAAAAACACAAGATATATAAACAATTCAAGTGTGTAATATTTCCATGTGTTATTTCTCCACTTTTCTTTAAGATATTTCAAACAGACAGGATGAGAAAGACATTTGTAGCTTTTATTATCCACCATCGCTTTGACTGCAATGTAAGGTTTACGTTTAGTGGACTTCATACTGAACTCTGCAGGTGTAATAAAAGTTATAAAACATGTATAAAGATAATATTCTTTTTAATGAATGGCACATTAAGGGACGATGTGAAGAAGAGAATAAAGGAAGAGTGAACATACCTTTGGCACTACCTTGTAAACATATGAAGTCGTATTCAACTTTACGGTCATCACATTCTGGGTCACCTGTGGAAATCATGCTGTTACAAAGAGCTTGGTAAGCCACATCTGACATGTTTTTTGAAACCAATTTTGCCATCTGTACTTCAGGATTGTGTAACGATTTTTCTAAAATCTGAAAACAAATATGAATGTTTTTAAATGTATGTTTATGATTTACTAATATTCATAAAAAGAAATTTGTAATAAGCAAGAGCTTCTATTGCTCCAGGGAAATACTGAAAAGCTATTCTTTTTTCATAATTTTAACGCATGGAATATCTTGTGCTTGGAGGAACACATGTGCTTAATAAATTATTCAAACCTCTCTCCATCTACTATGACGCATCATCATCTTAGCGCTCTCTTGATCACCATTTTCAATAGCCCAATCAAAGCAGTTCATGAATTCATAATCTTTTGTAATGGTTGCCTTGTTATCCAGTAAATATTCCAAAACATCTTGCTTGCCATGAAAGGCAGCTTCAAGCATTGCTGTCCGTTTATCTTTAGTCTCCATGTCTATCATGGAATAATCATGATCTAACAATAATTTGACGACATCGACATTTCCATGCTGTGCTGCGATATGAAGTGGGGTGGACTCGTCCTTATTCCTAAAAGTATAAACATAACATTTGTTTAAGGTTTAATTTTTTGTCTAAAAAACATTCCGAAAAATGATGTTTTCAGGAATTTTTTCCCAAAATAAAATGCATTGAAAGCATGCCTTAGTAATATAGCTCCCCTATGCAAAAGACATGTAACTATTTCTTGATCACCGCACTCAGCTGCTGTGTGAAGTGGTGTTTGTTTATTGGCATCAATTTTGTTAGTCAAGGCTGGCTCATGATCGAGTATAATTTTCACAACATCAGGTTTCTGAGAAATAACGGCACAATGTAATGGTGACTGATGGGCTTTGGTGAAAACATTTAGATCAGCACCATGTTCTATCAGAATTTCAACACTCTAGAAAGAACGTGGTAGTTAGATTTGACATCGTAGTTAAATTTAACAATTTTTAACCAAACATTTTATGTAAACCTAAGGCTGACCTTAAATCTAGATTCTTGGCCAAGTATGTTTTAAGGAATGGAAACTTATTTACCTCAATGAAACCTTTACAAGCTGCGTCATGAAGTGGAGTGTAACCATCATCTGCTGTTATTTCATTTATTAATGAACTAATGACATTATTTTTCTAAATAGTTTTAAAAAGAATTACAGATATGCTAAAATTTATCCGCCGCTAGCTTACAGCAAACACGCTAAAATTATACCTTTAGCAAAATTTTTAATATTTCAGGATATGCAATTGCATAATGAAGAACTGTTTTATAGCTGTTGTCGCGTATGGTAAAATCGGCTTTAAGTTTTAGCAGTTCTTTAACAACTTCGATATGACCAAGTTGTGTAGCAAGAATTAGAGCGGACTGGGAGTAATTCGTTAACTCGTTGACAAAGTCTTTAGACAGAGATCCAATGTAACTCACAAGACTGCTGTGGTTATTGATGGCAGCTCTATATTAAAAAAAGGATATTCCAAATAGTAATAAAAGGCACATTCTTAAGACACAAGTTGTTTATCAGGGAATGAAAAAAACTGAACAGAAGGTAGACTTTATTCCGTATTTAGGCTTAAATGAAATGAATTTTCTTAAACAAACTCATAAATACCGATAGCAGTACCTATGTAACGGAGTGTGTCCTCGTTCATCTTTTCGGTTCAATAGCACCAGATCTAGATCTCCCATCATGCTGACGAATCGCGACAATAGCTTTTCCATCCCGTATTTACAAACATCATGTATTAAATGATTATTATTTTTTATTTCTTGTGACAAACAGGAGCGTATTATGTTTTCATCTTGCTGCAAACAAACTTCTACTAAACTTTCATTTCCGCTGTTTATAGCGACATGAAGAATATTACGGTATTGAGAGCCCCCGTACTCCTCACTGAACAATAACGCTTTTAATCTGCCTTTTTCTAAAAGAAAAATGTTTATGGCATGAAAATCGTGGAAAAAGAAAAATTATATTCTCTTTAGCAACTAGCAGTTAAAGTGGTAATATGTTTCTGTCTAAGTTGCAACCTATCATTTTAACAAATATTTATCGTCTCTCCGATATCTTATTGATCTAATTAGAGAGTAAATTTAGTTATCTAGAGGGCTAAAGACCTACACTCACAAAACAGACACAGAATCAAGCAAATGTTCATTCTTATGCACTTTAAGTAAATAGTGAATAGACGAAAGCTTATGCACACTCTCTGCCCAACTTAAAACGAATAATGCTGAAATGTTAATGTTTTTATGCACTTTTTCTTTCTTCACGTACATCATATTATTTATTTTAAGTAACTTTAATCAAACTTGGATCATAATACAAATAAAAATATTTTTTGTTACTACATCAGCATATTGGCCAACAACCGATGAAAATACTCATACACGTGTTATAATCTCTAAAAACAATTACTATCAAAGTAATGAATATGGCTAAAAATACAAATGATAACAAAATCTTTATAAGTGAATACAACCTTTGCTTTCCAAACAGCGAGCTAGCAAAACAACTGTTCATAACTATTGCATGATCCTCGTGAAAATCACTTTACCGTGTTTTAAGAATAGATCCAGCATTTTTGTATGTCCTTCATATGCGGCGATGTGCAGTGGAGATTTTTCTGTCATATCATCCTCTGTTATCTTTCCACCGTGTTGCAAAAACTCTTTGGCTATGTTCAAATTGTTGTGCATTGCTGCAAAATGAAGTGGTGAGCGGGCATTTATGTTTTCAACATTGTTCACAAGTTCAGCCACAAAATCCTTCTCTAACAAGTTGCGAAGAATATCTATATAAAAAAAAATATTGATGAAGATATGTGTCAAAAAAAAGATAAATTTATCAATTAAAATTCAAGTGACCTCCAACAGCAATGCAATGTAACTATAACAAAGTTTGCAGTATAATCTTAGCAATTAAAGGACATATTGCAATTTAGTTTCACTGATCCGTTATAACATTTTTTACTCATTTTGACAGCAGATAAGCACTCGATAAATACAACAATTAAATCCGACATTTCTTGAGATCAACTATAACTTTTTGAAATTTATCACTTTATATCTATCTACAGTTTTTTTATAGCAGCCTGCAGTACAATGGTCCGAATCACCTTAACAATTATATTCTAATCTAAGTTAACAAAAAACAAAACATAACAAAAGAATATTCTCAGCATTGTCTTCTTTAATGTAATTATTACTTACATACGTCTCCAATTTTTGCAGCTACATGAAGTACAGTCTCCCCATTCTCGGCAATCACACACTTGGTTTCTTGAATGTAGTTTAACAAACAAGAAAAAGAATTAAGACTTCGTGACTCCAAAGCATAAAATATACATGGTCGGCCTCTTTCGTCACGTTTGGAAAGTAATCTTTGAACTAAATAAAAAATTCAAAATGCTAAGTTCGTAAAAAAGGACATTGAAAGCAGTAATGAATTACTTACTTTCCTTATTACTGTTGTTAACACTCAAGATATTTATGATTGCTTGTATGTCATCGTAAATAGCTGCAATTTTCAGTCGATTAGCAAGCGAATGCCCTGTCTTATTCCCATTTAGTTTTACATCCGTGTTGCATTGTTCGTTGATTGGTATGGGTGATTTCAGCACCAAATCACTGGTTTCCGCAATGTTGTCCTTTTTTCGAACAAAATTATACCACTTACGTGATGTGTTAGCCATTTCTGATAGAAGAAAAGGGATTGGTTGTTGAGAATGTATGCATGTTAGAGTAGAAAACATTAGCTTGTGAGTGTTATTCACTCAGCTTCGCTTCGGAAGATAACAATGACATCGGTCTGAATAATTCTGGATATCAAGCTTAACCTCATTCAATAATTGCTTAATAGTTTCAAAGCAAGCAACATGGACAACATACATCTGCCTATTCCTTGTTTTCGAAAGAAGTCAGCAGAACAAATAAGAGTGACATTAAAGGAAACTTCGGAATCTCTATAAAAATTTATAGAGTAAAAATGAGCTCCATTGCTCTTCGTCTTTACAAAGAAAAAACCTGCAATTGAATCAGTTTAGAGAGTTTGAACAACTCATTTATTACATTCAACTATTTTTTTTATTTTACTTACAAATTTATTTTTTTCATAAAATCTCTCAGCTACTTTTGCACTAAGTTTGACTCCTTGAAGAAATTTTTTAAGCTTAAAATAACTAAGCGTGGGGCCAAATTTTATGAAAAAAACACAAGCATGTTTGAAGCATAACGATGAAAATAACGATAAGCAATTGTGGAGATATACAAACAAAATTTTCAAAAGAAAAGCAAGTTATGCAATGCACATTAACAGTTCATATAAGACAGTAATGTTGAGATGTAAAGAAAAATATGTTAGTGTTAAGGCCACGCAAACTATTTTGTAAATTCTATTCGGTGTTGCTACACATAAATTTCTGCACGAATAATTTCAATAATTTTTACAATATTAACATCCTCTATTATAGTTCAGTCAAACTCAACGAAAGTTAAAAAACAAGCATGGTTTTCATAAAGCATGTTCACCGCTATGCTTGACGTTATAGCTTGTCACCTATATACATTCTTTCAAATGCTAGTAATGAAAACAAGTGAATAGTCTTACAAAAATATTTGTGCCTTTATTTATATACTAAATATGCTCGCTAATCTTCCCAAGAAGTTTTTTAATTGGACTTAAAGTCAAAAATTTAGCATTAATCGTCATAAGAACAACTTTGTTTTTGTAAGGTTACTTCAAAGGTCTGTGGCCATTACGTTCATTTAGAATGTACATTTATGAATTTTATAGAAAAAATAATTTCACATTCTAAATACGATTCATTTCACATATCTTTAATAAATTAAAGTAAATTAAATTAGATTAAATTGGAAGTGAAATAAACTTTATAACTTTTGTGTTGTTTGTATAGTATTCCAAACGAAATTTTAGTTCACTTTCCCTTCTGTAAAACAGTACAAATGATTAGGCTGGGGGAGATTAAATCATGTATAGTTTTCAGTCGACAGAGTCTATACAAACAATCTGAGGCGTGCCAATGAATCTGCTTTTGCAATGGGCTAATCTCATCATGACGAAAAATACATTTAGAGAATACTGCAATAAAAAATATACTCAAAACGGGAGTTTTCGATTTTATAGTATTTTCGACGTGCAAAATATTCAAACTGGCACAGCAGCGTATGTTATGTACACAAACATAATGATTGTTTTATCGATGGTCTGTATCATAGCAGGAATTGTGATTTCTGAAACGAAACAGATATCTTTCATCTTTATGGTGTACAAGGCCTATGTTGAGTGATAGCAATGTTGCTATATGTAAAATTCGTAGAAGATTACTAAAATGTTCAAAATTGGATCTTGTGCAATAAAATATGTACATAAGAGTTTTGCTCATTGGGTGTTATGATGAACCGTCCTTGTTATGTAAACGATGTTTAAACGATCAGCAATTAACTGGTTTTCCTCTGATGTCTTTGACAAGTTCACCAAGTATTTCCATTGAATGCCCTCAGGTACCTTTGAAATTAACTTTCGATTTCTCAATTAGAGGAGTCTCAAGGCATTCAGTTTCTACGTCTATACAATATGTTTTTTTTGGTTAGATCCATTTTCCGATTGACTCATTCATTGCAAGTATCGAATGCGCAAGGCACTTCTTTGATGTCAAAATTATTAACGTAATAACTGCGGTTGCTCAGTAGTTGTAAACATTAACAAAGTTTCATACATTTCTATTCTTCGAAATCTTATCGACAATATATTATTAGTCAACTTTACATTTGAGTTCGCTAATTTATATCTTGGATGAACGAAACACCTACGGTCTGTTGCGCCAAATAAGATACTCGCCTTTTTTACCATTGTTCAAAGCGTTAGTGGCGTTAGATTTGTAGTACAATCCAAAATTGTTATTTTTGACGGTAGAGCCATTTGAACTCAAGAGACAATACAAATTTGATAAAAAATGTCCTTAGATTTTTCATCCCAAAGATTTTAGCGTTCCAGTTTCGGATGATTTAATTCAAATTGATGAGATATGGAGATTGATGCACAATTTACAAATGTGTAGTGTATATTCGTATGAAATCCTTCACTAATTAATATTACCGCAACGAAAAGCTGCCTTGAATATAGTAAATTCTCAACGAATGCTAAGTATGGGAGTATGTATTACACTATAAGACGTTTTACAATTATGTTGCGGTTGTTTGGCATTCTCTATAAGTTAATGTTTATCTATCAAAACACCAACTTCTAAAACATCGTAAATAATAGTTATTGAAACACTAAATATTTAACTATGTTATATTATTTTTAAATTTCTAGAATTTATAGTATTCCCTGTATTATATACAAGACTACATCAAAGCAAAAAATTATCATCAATTCAAGTTTTGGCACAGGAATGACCAGTGAAAATTTGCTAACCGTTAAAGAATGCATGTTTGTAATATAATGAGGACAAGCTCTTATAAACCATCTACATAAATATTTTAATCTCGATGAGGAAACAATATTGGAAATAATTCGTGAAATTTGGGAGTGATTACATGTACGCAATAGTTCTATGACAATAAAATCTTACTGAAACTCACTTGGCTTCAATAAGCAAAAAAATACTACGTATCACTGTTATTTTCAGCTGAATTTATTGTTTTGATAAAGATACATGATGCGAAAAAAATAATTAATTACTATAAATTACACGACAGTTTACAAACCTGTATCACTTGTGTGAATTATTTCTTCAACCAGGGCAAATCTGTAAATCTTTTTAAATAATCAATGCATTTGACTCAAAGCGCGAGCAGATTCATAACAACCAATTGTCTCTTGCAATCAACCCTAAAGAATAAAAGCAGACATCCGGTATCCCAATCTAATTTAATGAAAGACCACGTACGTCATACAGCTACACAATGTGTAGCTTATTTCTTGGAATTGGTGTAGAATTAGTATTAATTAGGGTGATGTTTCTCGCTTATCAGTAATTTTCTTAAAACATGACATTTGGTTGCTCGTTTACCATGCAAAATATATTGTAAGAAAGACAACTTGTTCAAAATTCTGATAACAAACCGAGTCATGCAAACACAGCGGGTGACTATTTTATTAAGTTTAAAAGATTTAGGAATCAACTGTAGAAAGAAAAAGCGCTAAGAACAGGACAATGCATTTTAAAACCATGATCAAAATATTAATGCATCATTAAAACCTGAAAAATTGTAAAGATCGTAATATTTCATGTTGCAATGAAATATCATTGCCAATAGGGGAGGCTAAATACCAAACGACAAATATTCTTAACTGCTGTTTTGGTTACTGTTAAATCTATACCTTGTAGTGCTTAAATATTATATTTAGCACATGTATGTAACAATTTAAAGCGTTGGCGATATCTTTGTCGTATTTAATCTTTTGTTGATAATGTAATATAGGGTGTAGTCATTGCTGGTTTATGTAATTGTTAGTATAAGTACACGTCAAGTATTAACAATGTTAAATTTTAATCAAGCTGTCCTAATATTCAAATATATGCTGCTTTGTACAAATATTTGAGATGAAAGAGAGATGAAAATAACAAAGTGACATTTCGAATTTATTACAAATCATGACCAAATTTAATAAGGCGAGAAGCTAGTAACGGCTTTACTTTTTATTACAGTTGCTGTGACATATAGTCAGTACGTTGTTGTTGTGCTATACATTAATTTTCACTTGTGGTAATCACAAGTGTTTAAAAAATTATAAAATAACTTAATTTCATTAGAGGGCTTTTATGTTCAGTTTCCAACAATATATTACCAATGTTATTTCGTTGTAATTGCGGAGTTTCAAACCAGGCTGTTTTCCAGTAAGTGTTATTACTTATTATTTACGCACTGAAGACAATTAAGTTATGCGTAACCGCAAGCATCACTTTGATATTTGACTCTGGGCAAGATAGTGCAAGACGAAACGACAAGAAATTACCGCAAATAACTATAAGATGGCAGATTTTAAAGACTACATTCAAGCAAGCGATGCAAACATTAAAGATTTCAAAAGGAAAGAAAGCTAAGTTTTATAAAATTTTCTTCAAAAAGGCCTGTTATGTTAGGTTAATTTTTCTGCTATATGTATATGTATGCTGTGTGCATTTTTAGCTCAATTATGATCGATGTTTGGGTAAATTGAGTACATCTTTTTCATGTAAAACAATCACAAAACATGTTGGTTCATTAATATATACACAGATATAAATATCGTAGCAGTGAGTTGCCTATAAAAAAGGAGTACCCAATCTAATCTTAAGTTCTGGCTCTAACTTAAAAGCAAAACTATGTTAATTAACGAGGGCACTGATTGTAAGTGAAAAGAAACGCCAATTTTTTTTAATGTATCCTAATATGTGTGTAGGCTATGACAAAAATTTGATTGAATCACAATATTACCAACAAAAAACATTTTTAGTCATCAAACTTGAAGTAGTTAAAAGATGATAAAAAGGCATATTTAAGGAAATTGAAAGTTTTCATGTGAAATTTCCAAAGCCTGCAGGCACATAACAAATACTCAAATAGGGTTATACAATGGGAAAGCAGTTGATCTTTATATTATTAAAACCCATTAGTCAGTTACAGTAGGTTAGGTATAACAGTCAAAGTATAAATGCATATATATCCTTAGTAAATTAAAAGTGCAAAAATAAAAATGAATATGCTACATTTTCTAAATAATTATTCTATAAACTTTTGTTAGTCCTATAGGTAATATTTAAAAGTTCATTTTGTATTTTATACAGAAAACATATTGTTTACAAAATGTGCATGCCAAATACCTACAATAATAAACAGCTCACTTTTAAGCTACAAGACAAAATTATGATATCTTACGACGTGACATCACTCTTCACATCCATACCATAAGACATAGCGAAACAATTTACAAGAGAACTACTCACAAACGACAGATCAGTTGCCGTTATGATCGCTGTAGATTTCGCCATTAATGTGATAGAAACGACTGTGGAGGGTGACATAGAGAAGTGCATTGCCAAGAAAAATCGTACAAAGGACCGAGGTTCCCACACATAGTTCTCATAAGACCTTAAAATGTGCAACAATTGAGAGTGATTCCGAGCAATGTCGGAATTAGTCTTGTCTAAACTTTTTGACATTATATTTCCACAAATTTATAATGTGACTCAGATAAAAACGGAACAGTTTGCATTACAGCCTTCAAATCATCCATATCGTTACAAAGTTCATTATGTTTTGAAAGGCTTCCGCAAAGGTTTCCGTTTGGGTTTTGATAACGCAAGTATTCGTTTGAAATACACCAAAAATATTTGCCCAACTGTTTTATATTAGTACTTTAAATTTATTTATAGATCAAAGCAGCCCTTAACATTGTTTGGCTACCCAATAATTTTTTGTATGTAAGTGGATCCTTTAACGATAAATTTCATTATGATAACGTACATGGTGGCAGCGATGAACAAGGAAAGAAATAGACTTGGTCCATTGATATTGGATGCTAACGCAGCTGAAAATTGGCCAAAGCTCATTCGAGAGTTTTAAATCTACTTGGTGGCTAACGAGAAAGACAGAAAATCTGAAAAGTTAAAGGTTAATTTGTTATTGAAATTTGCTACTTCTCAAGCTATCGAAGAATATAGCCATTTCGTATATAATGGAGAAGAGAATGCGGAATGTTATAAGGATGTTTGTTGTAAATTTAAAAAACTGTTTGAAGTGGCTAAAAATGTTATTTCTGAACGCTTGGTGTTAAATCGTCAGAATCAACAGGAGGGATAACGTATTGATAATTCTGTCTGTTATTTTAATCGACTTGCTCTGTCTTGTGACTTTGGTGCTTTAGAGGATTCTCTAATAAGATATCGAATTTTGGGGGTTGTTTTATCAAACAATTTAAGGATAGAATTATTGAAGAAACCTGATCTTACCCTGCAACAAGCCCACAATTATTGCAAAACATTTGAGTCATCAGATTTGCAGAATTGAGGCAGCGGGCTGAATCATTCATGTTTCCGGGAATTTCCCAAGCTTCTCGGTGCAGCTACGACTCAGCTCAATATCACTTCCTACAGTGTTTCTCTTGGTCGAAATGTGTGAATACCGACGGCTCCCCATTACCACCATGGAAGGAAACGCTAATGTTCTATGTGGCTCATTATGTCAATCAACAGTAGCATCGTTACACATTGAAAATGGATTGTGCAACTCATTGAAGGAATGTCCCTGACTTGGTGGATACTCTACAGAATCAAACGGAATCAGGGAAGGTCCAAACTTCTAACAAAAACACATCTTACTCTGTAGCTATTTCTCAATTTTTATAAAAGCTTGTAGGCTTGTTTATATAACAAGAAACTACAATATTTAGATTTTATAAAATCTCAGAAAAAGAAACAAAACTCGGCTGGCTTTTTGTAATTTTTATCTTTCAAATTTTCTTAGCAATATTACAATTGCTAGCGGATTTTTTTTAGCATTCTATCATTTTGACTACTATTGTTTAAATTCGTTGATATTTTGAAATACTATCGCAACTTTCAAAACTTTATAAAAATGAAAATGCTTTTTTGAATTTTTTGAAAAAAGGAATGGTGCGACCTACAACAATCAAAAAATCTGGCTGTAATTTACCCCCTGATCAATCGTTCCGGATGTATTTTAATTGAATAAGCTAAACTTTGAGGGACCGACTAAGTTGCGAAAAGCACGGAACCAGCACACTGTTGCTACGCAACTTCTAATTATATCCAAATTTATATTTTAAAGGTCACCTGAAATGCAAAATTCATATTTCTGTTTATTTGACATATAAAATGTATATATTGCGTAGACTATTCAAACAAAATTTGAAAACAATCCCATGATTATTTTAAGAGATATCAACGTGTGAATTTGTGTTTTTTTTGAATAGAAGTAAAAAATATTCCGTCGGTTTATCGTCGGAAAGTACTCGGCGTGACGTAATAGTTGCCATTGACATTTCGCGCGAGAAAGCGGCAAATATGAATTCATAAATAAAGTTTGATTTTGATCGGCTATTTTAAGATGGTTTACTTTGTGGCATTTAACTGCAAAAACGGTTCTTCTAAGAACCAATCTAAGGCGGAAAAAGTTGGGTTTTTCAGTTTCCCCGCTAAAAATCCTTTACGGTCGATAAGGTGAAAAGCCAAGCATAGGTCGATAAGGTGAAAAGGAAAGATTGGAATCCTTCGAAAAGGTCAAAGCTCTGTTCGGCACACTTTGAAGCCTGCTGTTTTGTCCAAAACCCCGGAGTCCTGAAATCTTTAGGATGGCGACCAACCAGGTTAAGGTTAAAGAAAGACGCAATACCAACGATCTTCGACTATTCGAGGTCGAAAGTTGGTGATAAACGGAAACCGGAGGCAACTAGAAACGCGTATGCAAAGCGCAGAAAATTAGAGGTAAAGTCTTGTAGCCAAGCAGTTTTCAATGTAATTATAGTGCATTACTTTAAAAAAACGCATATACAATTCAGATAATAAACGAAGCTCTTGAGAACTCCGTGGAAAACATTGAGCAGCCTGACGAGGACGAAAATACATCAAAAACATGTTCGTTTTGTTTGAGTGGACAAGTGGACTCAAGAGATAAATGTAACATAAGTGACAATGGAACACAAACTGACAAAGTTTTAAGGGAATGCAATGCAGTTTTGTTTTGTGCAAAAGCCTAAACTGTTGCTTGATGATGTAGAAACGCAGACATGTAAAGTGTCAATCTGATATAAAAATCCCAGTCGAAGCAAAAAGCAAGCGCACTCAAACGAATGCACAAGTGACGTCTCAAGGTTAATTTTTTACATGAACTCAGCGGAAAATAAACATTTTCAAAAGTGTTTCCTTAATTATGTTATTCCGTTGCACAGGGACAGAAACCGAAATTATCACGACAAATGCAAGAAGCACTCAAACGGAAGGTAGTTTATCCGTAGATGAAAACGACAATGATGATGATTTCCTATCAGATGCTGAAATAAGCACTTCGGAAAACAACAGTACCGCAGATGAATATCTTAGTTTCAGCGAATTTGAATCGTCAGATGATGAAGCATCAATTGCCGAGTAAGTTAGTCTGCATCATTTTGAAATAAGATAACCCAAAACATAAGTTCATTTCAAGTATTTTACAGAGCAAGATAACATTCATATAAAAAATAAGTAATTTTTCCATGTTATAGGGAAAATGATGTTACTCAAAAAAAAAAATTTTTACAGCTGTCTAAGAAAGTTGTTCTCTCAGTGTTGACACTGTGGTGGTCACTGCAAGATATCAACCAGAAGCATTGGAAGCATGGTGAACATCATCGCTAAATGCTCATGTGGCTTTCTTAATAATTGGAATAGTCAACCTACTCATAGTCAGATGCCATTGCGTAATCTCTTGCTATCTGCCAGTATTCTATTAAGTGGTAACAGCCCATCCAAAATCCTGCAATATTTTCAACAAGCAAATGTACAGTTCATTACTGAAAGGTGCTACAAGTATATACAAAGTGGATATCTTATTCCAAGTGTTTTGAATGTTTGGAAAAAGCACCAGACTATTATGATGACAGAGCGTCAGGGAAAGCAGGTTGTTATTGGGGGTGATGGACGATGTATTCAAAACAGTATTGTATGCAAACACATTTTAGGAAATGTCTAATATGTACTTATACAACATGAATACAATGTGTGTAACTAAATCATGTGATATACACCAACATACATGCATACTTGCAGACATACATATCCCAAACACTATATGATTTTATTTACATTATTATATCTATTACAGTCAAATGAAGTTGCAAATTCAGGGGCAATGGAATTGGAAGGACTGAAAAGATCTTTTTAACTTATTCAGTCACACAATCTTCAAGTGAGTCATCTTATCACAGACAGGCATTGCCAAGTTAAAAAATACATGAAAACCCAACAGCCAGGAGTGAAACACTATTTTGATGTTTGGCATGTGGCAAAAGGTAAAATTAAGGCTACCAAAAGCTGCTCAAAGTACAGCAATGGGCCTTAAAATAAAGTACTTCCTGATTTGATCAAAGAGTATCTTTATAATCATAAATTACCAAGTGATTAAGAGGTTTTAGAATTTTTCTAATTGGATTTAATTTCATGATATTTTGATCAATTATTGCTATGTTTTGCATTACAATTTTTTAACCAATGTACAGTGTCTATTTTTTTCCACAGGTATCAAAAAAAAGGTAATGGCAGCCGGTAAGAAGAGTGGATGTAGATTGCTACTTGATTGGGCACAGTCAATATCTAACCATGTCTACTGGTGTGCTGCAAGTAGTGGTGGTGATGAGAAACTACTTAAGGCTAAATGGCTATCATTGCTGAATCACATTTGCAACATTCATGATGGTCATAGCGAATTATTTCCAAAATGTGAGCATGGTACTCTTGAGCCTCGCTTATGGATAAAGAAAGGTACAAATTAATCCTAAATGCTCTGGTATAAGACATAATAGTTATTTACAGTAATTGATACTTTCTTTATCAACAAACTTCAATTGCCAGCCAATGCCACAATGTGGTGTTATTTGTCAACATATGACATAAATGGGCACCATAAAATTTTCTATCTTTTTTCCAAGGATCTAGAGCATTTACTGAATTGGCATCGATTGTTGAAAGCAGGTATCTCATGAAAGATATTGGGAAGCTCAGCCATGAGAAACAAACATCAGCTCTTGAAGGTTTTCATCGAGTTGTTATACTATATGCACCAAAGCATACACATTTCTTTTACAAGGCAATGCAAGCTAGGTAAACAAACAATAAACAATGTTGTTTTCATACTGAAAATGATTGCAAGGTGGCACACTAAAAAGTAAAATTAAATTTTTAGATTACTGATTGCTGCTCTCCATTTCAATGAAAATGGAAGTAAAGAACAAAGGCGTACAAAAGAAAATGGGGAATTAATGTGGAAAGTGTCTCACCCCAAATCAAGACAGTCATGTGGAGTCATCAAAGGTGTTAAAATTGATAGTACTTATGGTAAGGACAAGTTTTAGCACTCAAAAGCCAAATAATTGTTCTACTGATGGTACATTTCTTGCACTTCTCAGTTTAATTCTTCTCCCCCTGTTTTACAGACTATGTGAAACAACTAATGGAGGAAGTGATAAGGTGCAGACATGCTAATTCCAGTTTAAACCAAGCAATTGCAACAGAAAGACAACAAAAAATACCAGATCCACTGACTAGTAGAGTTGAAAAAGTTGATAAAGTAACAGCAGTGCAACAACATACTTCACGATTCAATCTTAACTAAACTGAAGTCTAACACTCACAGGTATTTATAAATGCTGTGCATATTCAAAGCCTTTATATATGCCAGAAGGTGAAAGAAATGCTTTCCTTATTTCTTTAACAGCACAGGATGGTATAGGAAGTCGATATTTCTTGCCAAGCTTTCCATGTATCCATGCTGTCCATTGCCTATAGGCAGTGTAACGCAAAGTTCTGGGAAACAAAACAAAATCAAACGTAAGCAAATTATTGTCGATATATGAGGAGATATCAAAAAAGCTGAAACTGACTCGGTTTCTGGAGCGTCTGGTATTGCCCCGTGATCGTGAAAGAATACAACCATAGCTGTTCTAACGACTGTTTCGTTGATGCAGACCATGTGAAACTCTTGTTCTTCTGTGATGCATAAATGGTCACCATGAATTTTAGGGTCTGTCTTCGGTTCCTCATGGCAACAAATGCTTTCCCGGCCGGTTGTCATCGCCGCACAGTGTCCACACTCACACCTGCCATTAAAATAAAGAAAAGAATTTTATGACGCGATCTGAAATGTTAATCATGAAAAAAAGCAACGCACCAGTTTCTATTTCCAATCCTGTGAGTATATTCGTCAGATGAGCTGTCCGTTGACGACGATGAAGACAGATCTTCGTCAGTTTCATCATTATTGCTACTAGCTAGCGGTTCAAACATGTAAGGCTGGACCTCCGTAGCAATATATTCCATGTCAAATTCGACTTCTTCCTCCGTTGAAGACATCGAGATAAACATGCATTAATAGTAGCAGCAACAACAAAAAGAAAATCGGCGAAATTTAATTTTTACTGCCACTGGCTGCACTGAGCAAAAACATGCAATGGCAACTATTACGTCAAACTCGCCCCAGCTTGGGTAATTCAAATTCGCTCGCGCTATTTGAATTCGGCCTTCGGAAATCGTCAATGTCATGAATTCAGAAGACCATATCTCATAAAATATAAAACATTGGACTTTCAAATTTGGCGAATAGGCTAATCATTAGCTAAGCTTTCCTATGAAGCAAAGTTATATCAAGCAATTCAGGTGACCTTTAATGGCGTATTAAAACAAAATCGTTATTAGAAGATTTGGATTTTCTCCAAAAATCCCGAATAAATGAATTAAAACTGTTTTGAAATTATAACTAAGTTATTTTGAATTTTTCTTATAGCAAACTCTTTATATAGCAGGAAATTTTTGGTCGGGCTAAGCCATCACTGAGAGCATGGACAAGCGTGTAACTAAATTAACCAGGCGAAACAAATAGCTATTGCTAACTAAATTATATCTTATGCAGATTTTATTCAATGCATATATAATTATTTATGTGGGTTTTGTTTATTAATGAACTGTATGTGTCCTCATACCTAACGTTTGCTAATGTTATTTGTATTATTTGATGTTTCTTTGACAAGTCACTTTTCCTTGAATTTGAGAAGCAATTTTGTAATGAACTAATTGTGCGACAAAACAAAACTCCAAATTGTAAGAATGAATTCATATCGACAAGCTGGCAAAAAAACTGATTTACTGAAATGAAATGACACACATTAGCTAGCTACGTCAACACTTTCTGAAACAACTGCCAAACTGTACACTGAACAAAATGCATTAAAATCATCTTTCTTATATATTTTGTTTTAATTGATTGCAAAAATATCATATATCAATTATTGAGTTCTATTTGCACATATACTAATTCGCTTGCAAACTCTAAACGTGCCATGCTATTTTTCATTGGTGGGGGAAAATTGATAATTTGGGTGGGGTATATTAATATATTCATATGAAACAATCGGTAAACACAATTAATTTCAATAGAAAAAATATTGTAGTCACAGTATTTTTGTATACAGTGGCGTCACTAATGGGGCGGCTGTGGTCACATGCCCCACTATAAAGTTATTGTCCCTCCCCACTAAGTGTCCCCCATTTGAATTTTAGAAAAGGGTCTTGAAATGCATCATTAGAAATCGAAAAGAAGCATATGACCTTAATCTTACGGAATTTTCACAACTTCATTGTGAAAGGAATGATTCAATTTGCTGCGCAAACTTGAGTGCACTGCATTTACGCTTTCTGCGATGTCAGCCGACTGTTAAAGATTTTAATTCCTTGAAAATGCAAAAAAAATACAAAACTTCTAGAATCAGAAGTCTCTAGTGGGCAAGGAAGAACAAGTGATATTGGGACTCTTATCATGAACCACATTACACCATATCATAGAGCTTGTATAAGATCGTGGACAAGTATACTCATAGATTCATACTTGTAGACACAAAAATACAAAATAGCATAAATTAGGTGTAACTCTTAGAAAAATACTGCTATATTCTGTGAGTATTATAATTTGTAAACATTTCATTAGAATCAATATACGTATCGTTATAACACGAAGAATCTCCAAGCCGCTAATGTTTAGTCGGAAGTTAAAAAGTTGAAACTAGTTATGTTGTGATTAATATTTAAAAAATTTCCCAATACAGAAGCAAATTTAGGTGCGATTTTGCTTTCGACTTACGTAGTACTAATTTTATACCCCCTGTCAAAATTTTATATTAGCTTGGGTCTCCCCCCCCCCTCAAACTTGCAAAATCATGGCGACGCCAAGCCAACAAAGTAAAACATACATATATGAATAATAGGCCCCCACCAATTATCAATGTTCCGCCGCCATTGCAATTGTTGCAGTGTTTGCTTCAATCGGCAGCGATTATTATTATTCAAATCAAAATCAGTCCTCCAATGTTATTCCAAATTATTACACCGGGAAAGAAATCGATCCATGAAATGTATGCTGTCTTTTCATATTACCGGCTTGTAGTATACAATTAATTATTCATAAACATTGCACAAAATATTAATGTCATACTCTCTTTTGTCAAACAACATCTTAGCCATCATCACTTTCTTTTTAATCACATTTTTTATTAATTTTGATGACGATATGTTCATTTTTCATCTATATTAATGTATTCACGACAAGATAGTTTTGATGTTTGTTTGCGTACTATAAAGAAACACTTATAAATGAAATTCCTGTTAATAGAATGTTTGTACGCATGAATAGTTCACAAACATTTGCAATCTTAATGTTTATGTCGAGAAGCCGATATAACACACACAGACGCAAATAAACCGTTTGTAAGCTCTGCCAGTTACTTTTTCTCAAAATATCTTGAAACCAATTCAATAGGTAAGATTGGAAAATATGTTTTTTTTTGTTTTAGGTATGATTATTGGCAACGGAAGGAGGCCCTCTTTAAATACCATAAAGTGTTTATTGTAGATAGAAACATTTCTATTGTCAACGTTTGTATGACAATTGTCATCGTTTGTATAACAATTGTCATTTTGAACTTTCGTCAGATACAGTTCAATGATATCTTCAATTGCCATATTTATGCACTCACACTAAACAGTAACAAAGTGTCCAAATATTCATGTGATATAATTCATATAAACTCCAAGACATCGTCGCAAATTATTGTTGATATCTTTAAAACTACTTATAGCTATAGATTTTCAGGCTTTAAATGGACCCCGATAAAAGTATGTTCTTTTCTCATTTTCCTGATAGCAGAACGCAGTACTCGAAACTTCTTATTTTTTATATATCACTGCAAGCTCAATGTTAATGCATTACTAGAGATCGTTATAAAATAGAGCATCATGAATCTTGCTGTTGATTGTCTAAGTTATAACTTTGATATGATTTTTAGAATGCTACTAAAGCAAACCGTATGGATTGTCTTTCGGCTTATCTTGATCTTGCGTGGTAAGCATGACTTTAAGATTGGTAATTATAAATTCTAAGCATTTTGAAAGATATATTTTTACATTATGTGCACAGCAGTCGACTTTCTACTGTTGCGTGTGAATTAGAGAATCCAATCAATATATCACAGATATTCATTCAATTATTTACTGGATGAATAAAAAATATTGAATAAATTGAAATTATTATGTTATTTTCCCACTTTAATTAATTAAAACCATTTAGCTAATGAAAACAATTTCCTGTCGAGAACTGGCAAACCCTTATATAAACGTTCATTTCTTTCATTTCTTCCTTAAACACGAGTGGAGTGAACAAAAATTATGTTTTTACGAAATATATTGCATTGAAAACTATGCTAAAAATTGGCAGCTTTAATAACTATCAACAATTAACAACAATGTTTCTTGAGCAAAATGGCTTGGATAGACTTGTTAAAACTTTTCCACCCTTAAGAAAATTTAACGTTTGATTTCATATATTTATTCATTTATTGTAAATCATCCTTCGAACTATTACAAATTGCACAACTGATTGATGATATTTACAAAAACAATGACAAAGACACCACAATAGGTGTATAAATAGTACATAACATGTTATAAAATAATAATCAGTTATTGAGTTTAATAAGTTACATTGAAGTTAATTCTGTTTACATACTAATTCTATGTATTGACATGATCAAATGCGTTTAACATGTCAAAGAAGAATTTTCCCGTTAGCTCATTAGTTAAGTTATCCTGAATTGACATTAAAAACGAACAATGTCTCTCCAGTAAAGTTTGGAAAGATCTATTTATTCTAAAAAGATTTTCCACGATTTTCCTTATATCGATCAATTTTGTATTTGTGCTGGACAAAATGAGATAGTTTCGTAAAAGCACTATTGCCAATGCACATTTAATATAAACGACAACTTTTTTAAAAATAGACATGTTTCGACATTTCATGATGCCATCTTCAGTATGAGTGAAATAATAGGCGATACAAGGTTTATATAAAAGTAATATGATACATAAATTACAACAATAAAAAGGAAATAAGATAAATTAATGAGGAGAGTCCGAGCGTATTATAAACTAAATATTGCATTGAACTTAAAAACTTGAACATTGAGGTCAGGGTTAGTTTTCTTAATGTGGAGTGCTTCTTTGATTTTAAAGGTGAATGAGGTGTCGGCAGTGTCGATGATTTTGAAGCAAGAGGGTGAATAGTTGCTTTTACATGAGTGAGATTTAAGAAGGTGTCGGTAGATATGAGAGTTTTTGTCTGTTGTGGTATGTTCCCTGATTCTGGTGGATAAATGGCCCGAAGTTTCGCCAATGTATCGGGAATTACATACCGCGCAATTGAATTCATATACCACAATAGATTTAATTGAATCATGGATTGGGTCTTTGAATGAGAAAAGGCTTTTGATTTTGGATGATGTGAAAATTAGTCGAATGTCAATATCTGTACAGAAGCGTTTCATAATGTTTGTAAGTCTGCGTTGTGTGTGTCGTGAGTAATGTCCGATGTATGGTAGTTT